CCGTTCAATCACAAAACTGCAATGAGCATTATCATAATGAATTGATGAATGATAAGAAGCAAAACGTTTTCATTATCATTGAACAACAAAAAATGACACTAATCAACAACAGTGATAATGAAAAACACCGCAACAACGACACTGTTCTCATTGAATTCACTGAAACATAATCAGTGAATATCCACCGAGTATGAAAAAGATGTGCAACTCACAAACGAATAACAAAACAAAACTGCTCTTCACTCATTATTACTTTAAGAACAGGTAAACGCAATAATCAAAAAAATGACAACAATTCTGAAAGGAATACCCTCCGCGATTCAAACGTCCACTGCTGTCCAATAAAGGTGATGCGAATTGTGCTCGTTTGACGGGTGATTTTGTTGGCGACTGATTTGTGGTGCACACTAAAGTTTCGTGTACGTCACTTATGCGACGTCTGAATGAAGTGCCACGCCTGGACAATGATGACGGCGTTTGATTATGCGTTGGAGATGGTGATAAACGCCTATGCGATGGTAGAACGGCCTCTTCGGCTGCCATCACTTTACCACTATTCTTATTGGCGCTTTCCTTAAACGATTAAAAGAAAAAAACTTCAAACGATTCAGCAACAACATCAAACAAATATTTTTTCTAAAACAAATTTAAAATTCACTGACCGTTTTCTCAATATCTGTAAGCACAGACATTAGCGTACGTCGACGTTTAGGTGGAGCCGGTGTTCGTTCACTACTGCTCGGCGTTTTGGGTCTGAAATTCGCAGATGAGCTTTCAAACTTCCAAACGAACACAAACACACGAATTGAATACAGCAGAACTTTTTCGGGCAATAATAGTCTACGGTGAATTCGTTTTCAAACGAAATCAAACATAATCGCACCAACATTCCGAAGCTAGGTATGCATCTCACATTCACAAAACATGAAAACGTATAATCTGATTATATANAAAAAAAAACTTTTACACAATCACTATTATGCTAATTAACTTCCACTATAAAATTAAAATCAGATGAAGAATAAGCCAAACCTCAAGTTCGTAGACTGTGAACCATAGAAAGAATCTGATGTATGTACGGGCTGACGGCATTCTGATCTCAATTGTTTAGTTTCCATAACTGGCGTCAACGATGTTCTCTGGCCATCAGAAGATTTCCTGCTGTCAGACTGCGATGCCGAAGCTGCTTTAAACAATGAATCGCTTGTCTTGGTTCCACTCGATATTGTCTTCACACTTCTGCAAACAGAAAGGACTGAGAATTTCTAAACCTAACTCACTTTTAGAAATTCACTCTTGTAGGTGATGAACTTGCATCGATGATTACTTTCAGATCTAGCATTATTATCACAGGTTTTTTCATTATCAGTTATAAAATACTTCGAAGAAAACCACTACTACTACACAGATGACAAAATCCCATAATAAAAACAAAAATACATTGAATAACGAGGCACATAACAAATGTCAACTTAAACATATACCTTGAAATAGCTGACGATCCTGAGCGGCATTGCTGAGGTGGTGTAATATGTTGCTGAAAACCGCCTGATCGTATCCTATGTGAGCCACTTTGTTGAGGCAATCCCACTGAAATGAAAACATTTCTAAAACAAAAATCCGACTACAATTTAAAGTCTCTTTGCAAAAAAGAAAAACTGTGCGATACGTTCAATACAGCACATTTACGTTCGACGTTTGTAATCAGAGATATCCAATGCATGTAGTGATATGTAAATAATGAATTTGATAACGTGAACGATGCTACAAAATCGATGAGCGTTCCTTCAGAACGAACAAATGCATTACGAGAATAGTTCTGTGAAGACATTCAAAGAAAGGAGAAATCTCTGATAATTACCGTTCAAGAAATTCTTCAAATATTCATAGGCATCGACCAGAATTTCGTGACCCAAGAACTGCAGTGTTATTTCAGTGTTCGAAGATTTATTCGCAGACGACTGCTGTGCATTTAACAACAATGTTGTATAAATTGGCATTTTCGGTGGCAAGAACAAACCATTCTTGGGAAACGTCTGCAAATTTTACGTGCTTAGAAGAATCAAGAAGCACGTAAAAAGTGAAAGGTGAATCTGGATGTACAGTTTTGGAAACACTATTATTCAACAACAACTCTGCATGGTGGTTGTGAGGAATCCTGAGTGTAGTTTGGCATACTGTTTTTTCAATTTTAAGTATTTAAACATGACACAAATATTAATCGTAAATAAAAATTGAAGTCTAGACAATTGAAATGGTCTTTGGGAGTTCCGTCTTGAACATAATATTCAAAGCATTACAAGAAAACTGAATTTTGCAAGAAAAATGAAATATTTTAAAGGATGAATACGAAAAAGACGACTAAACCACTCACCACAACTGGACCCTTCCTGACTTTCAGCACCAAACATTTCTTTTCCTGATCCCATTTCACCATTGCCTGCTCTAAAGGCATTATTGACCGCGACCCATCTTGGATCCATCGGACCTTAATTGACAAATATACTCAGCAACTGTATTGTGACAGCAACTTCCAGTGAAGTGGCACTATTCTAACAACTGAACAAAATGATTTTTTACACCTAAATAAAGCATCCTTCACCTTTGCAGGCCACTCTCGACTCCTGTCCATCCCTATTGATTAGAGCAGCAATCGGAATCAGCCCTTTATCCGAAGATGATCTTATTCAATTGCTGTTTTCTTCAATGTCGTTAACTTTTTTGGATTTACTAAAATGTTAATATGTGGTGATGAATGACAAATAACGAAAACATCCTTACAACACAAAGATCGCGAAGTTTACTTCAAGCTTTCATGATTTTCAGCACTTCCACACAAAAAGTAATTAAAACATATCACATTCAACGTTTCATTCAAAGCAATTTTTACAAAACTACACCATTTCACACTGAAAACACGTGAAACACACGATGAAAGCGAAAAAACCTCTGATCAAAAATCACGCTATTTTATATTACTCACATAATGTCAATGTAAACAGAAAGGTTAATTGAAAAAAAAAGATCAATTTAATTAAGTTCATATCGAGTATAATAATGATTTAAGTCGAAACTGTACGCGCGAAAATGATACGACCGAGCCGTGCCGGATATTTAGTCCCTGCAACATTGCACCCAAATAAATGAACTGTGCGTTCGGGTTCACAATTGATACTCTTTGCCATCAATATCTTACAAAGTACTTTTTATTCTGATTATGAGATATTCAGGACTTTCTTCTGTTAGTGGGTATATTTTCAGCAGTTTAATAGCATCATTTGCCAATTAACCGTTAAAATTATAATTAATATGATAACATTGTGCTTTGCAATAGAACATTGATATAGTGAGATGATTTACGATTAAATCTTTTCGTTGTTGATGTTTTTCTTGGCCTTCCGAACGCGATTATACATAAATGCCTATGTTCAGTTTCTGTTTTTATTTGCGTTTGTGTGTTGTAGGCTGCTAAGAGCAGTGGATGACGGGATTGGAGAGCGAAAGATGGAATTCAACAGGTCGGGCGCTGGTGGTTCCGTACACGGTCAGCTCAATTGAT